TATATATATATATATATACATAATAAATATACACAGAACACACACATATATTACATAAACAAAAACATTTATTTTGGAAGGCAATTAATCGCGATTAATCGTTTGACAGCACTAATCAAAATAAATGAAACCTGAATAAAATAAAATAAAGACAATGAAATAAAAACCAAAATTGAACTAAAATAAATTAAATGTAAATAATAATATTACAAAACTAATGAAAATTACAAAAGCACAAAGTGACTAAAATGTAAACTTAAATCAAAACTCAAGATATCAAAATAAAAGCTAAATAAAATAAGACAAAAATAAATAAAAACTAAAACTAATCTAAAACTGAAATAAATTAAATTTAACTTGTAGTATTGATAAATTGATAAAAAAATGACAACAGCCCTTAACAAAATGACAAAATAAACTACAATTAAAATGAAACTTGAAATTATAAAAATAAACGGTAATTGTAAATACTACTGAAAACTATAATTTTATATAAATGATACTAAAATAAGTGAACATGAAGTGTTGATCAGATACTGTCTTGCAGAACTAGTTAAACTGTTTGATGACGTACTTGTGTATGACTTGTGTTGTGTGTGTGTGTGAGTGTATTAATGTGTGTCTGTGTGTAGCTATAACAGACGATACGCTGAGGTTTGTGGGTCAGAGCCGCAGGCTGGTGGTGGTTGTGAGTCCGTGCAGCGCTGTCCGCGGGACACAGGCTCTGCTCGAGCTGCAGGCCGGACTGACCAGCATGCTGCACGGCGGCAGCCTCAGGGTGGTTCTGATCCAGTTCAAACCGGTCCGGAGGAAGAGCTGGGTCAAAGAGCTGCGCCGGGCCCGGCTGGCGCTGACACTCATACGCTGGAAGGGCGAGAAATCGGCCCCTCTGTCCTCACGCTTCTGGAAACAGCTGCAGCTCGAGCTGCCCATGAGGAGGGACACACAACACACACACACACACACCCAGCTACCGGATATCACACAACACACACCCGACACACACACACAAAACACACGTCAGGCAGAAGAGAAACTCTGCGATCCTTATTCTACCAGTGCCTCATAGACAACCAGCATACGTACCCTCGCTCACTTGATTTGTATAGCGCTTTTCACAATATGCATCATTTAAAAGCAGCTTTACAGAAAAAAAGAAATAGTAGATGCCATATAGGATTTTCAGTGTAGATTTAGTATTACATTTGTACTATTATGGTATTTAGTCATATTTTGAATTTTATATTTTTTAGTTTCCATTTTAATGTTTAGTTTCGGTTGTTTTGTGACCCACACACACACACAATTTTTTTATTTAAATAGTATTTCAATTTATTGTATTTCTGTTAGCTGCCGAGGCAACATATCTAATTTCCGTTTAAGTTACTTATGTTATTAAGCTTTCATTAGGGAATTTCGGTGTTAATTTAGTATTTTTAAGCTATTGTAGTATTCATGTTCATGTAATATTTTATTTCAACTTTTAGTTAACAAAAATGGTTTTGAATAGTTTTAGTTAACAGTAACAATACTTTGTCAGCCAAACTCCTTTTAGCTCAAATATTCACTTGAAGTCCATCTGAGATTTTAGGTTAATATTTCAAAAATGTACCAACATATTGTATATTCGCCGTTCTCTGATGTCCGTTAATGAACAAATAACATGCAGGTAAAAACATTAAAAATATAAATATTTTTGGTTTTTATTTTAAAGTTATTTATTTTAATGTTATGATTATGATTTATTAGCTTCTTATGGACTCTTAAACCCTCTGCAGATCCCTCAAGCACCAACAGGGGGTGTGAAACCCTGTTCTAGTGGATTTGGATTGTAGTGCACTTATCTAGTACACTAGATTACAAACGCCACTTCTGTCATTGTCTGACTTCTGAAATAGTGACCTAATGCAGGACACTGTGGCTTTCTCCATAGACTTGCATTAGAAAATGCTTGCATTAGAAAATAGTTGCTGATGAAGGCTGAGTTCAGATCAGAGGTGTGAAGTGTGTTTCTGAGCATCAGCCACAAGAGGGCAGAATCCTGCTGCAAATAATGCTGGTTTGAATGAGTTTTTGAGGTTTCATTCCCTCTTTCAAACTGCACAACAAACTTCCAGCTGTTATCATTCAGTTGCATTTTATTCTCAGTATGTTTCAGTTGTTGTCATGCATCACTGAGTTCATCTTATATGACCATGTCATGTCCAGTATGTTCTGTGATCTCATTTTTTTTAACTGATTTGATAAATAAAAGTTTATTTTTGCATTTTGTTTCATTGATTTATTTCATTACTCATGTTCAGATGATTTCACACTGAATCTGATCATCCCATGACAGCAACTGACGTCCGTGTTCATTATTTACACTCATGATCATGATCAAGTGTTTCCCTTCAGTCATCAGTGAATAGAGGAAGTGGTAAAAACTCAACCAATCACATGCCATCTGGCCCCAGTGAATCTGGTTTAGTGTGTGTTTCTCAAGGTCTGGAGAAGCCAGATCAGCTCAGTTCTGATTCTCTGGAAAGAAAACCCCCACAAACATCTAAATATACCATAACCGTGAACACACACTTTCCAGCCGCTTTTGTTTTGTCCGTAATTTTTCCATTGGCAATTCAAAAAGTTCAAAAAGCATTCATATATGTACCACAATGCTGCTTGCCATAATTTTAAAGGAACCGTTCACCTAAAAATGTAAATTAGCTGAACATGTCCTCAGGCTACCTAAAATGAGTTTGTCTCTTCATCAGATTTGTAGAAATGTAGCATTGCATCAGTGTCTCAGCAATGGATGCTCTGCAGTGTATGGGTGCCGTCAGAATGAGAGTCCAAACAGCTGATAAAAACATCACAATAATCCACAAGTAATCCACAGCACTCCAGTCCATCAGTTAACATCTGGAGAAGACAAAAGCTGAAACAAATCCATCATTAAGACCTTTTTAACTAAAACGTGAGTCCATAATCCATAATAACGCTTCCTCCAGTAAAAGGGGTCTGTTGTGAATCAGGAGAGAAATCTGCACAGATCAAGCACCACTTAAGACAAAACAGTCCAAAGCGGCTCTGAACAAATATGTGAGTGGATTTTGATGTGAGAGACAACAGGAGATGGACTTTTACACTGGAGGAAGCGTTATTATGGGTTATGGACTCATGTTTTAGTTAAAAAGGTTTTTACAAACACACAGTTTTTGTCTTCTCCAGATGTTAACTGATGGACTGGAGTGGTGTGGATTACTTGTGGATTATTGTGTTTAATTTTGTTGATTGAATGGTTAATTTCTAAAATATGTATATGTGGCAAAGCTGAAAAAAAAACATTGTATGTTGAGGCAGTGATCAACCCAAAACATAGCACTCCAGTTAAATCTCAACTATTAAAGCTCAGATGAAATAAGAACTCCTCTTGAGAAGTCACACTTACAGTGAGATTATAGTTTAATACTTTATATTTGTAAAGCAAAAGATTACAAACTTTGTGCTTAACACATGAATATAGTGAATGATAGCGTTCAAAAGTTTGGGGTTGGTAAGATTTTTTTTATGTATTTAAAAAAACTGCATTAATTTGATCAAAAATACAATAAAAACTAATATTGTGTAATATTATTACAATTTAAAGTAGCTGCTGTCTGTTGTGATATATTTAAAAAATCATATGATGCAAAGCTGTATTTTCAGCATCATTCCTCCAGTCTTCAGTGTCACATGATCTTCAGAAATCATTCTAATATGCTGATTTGCTGCTCAAGAAACATTTCTGATTATTATCAATGTTGAAAACAGTTGTGCTGCTTCATATATTTGTGGAAAGTGTATTTTCAGGATACTTTGATAAATAGAAAGTTCAAAAGAACAGCATTTATTTGAAATAAAAAATTTTTTTAATTTAAATGTCTTAAATTTAAAAGCTTAAATGTCTTTACTGCCACTTTTGATTATTTTAAAGGGGTCATATGATGCTGCTAAAAAGAACATTATTTTGTGTATTTGGTGTAATTAAATGTTTATGCGGTATAAAGTAAAAAAAACCACATTATTTTCCACATACTGTACATTGCTTAAATGTCTTTACTGCCACTTTTGATTATTTTAAAGGGGTCATATGATGTTGCTAAAAAGAACATTATTTCTTTGGAGTGTTACAAGCTGATTGTGCATAGATAAGATCCCTGAAGTTGCAAAGACTAAAGTCTCAAAACCAAAG